TGCCTTACAGAAGCTTTTCAGTTTCATGAGGTCCCATTTATTGATTGTTGTTCTTAGTGCCTGTGCTAATGGTGTTCTGTTCAGGAAGTCATCTCCTGTGTCAATGAGTTCAAGGCTATTCCCCACTTTCTCATCTATCAGGTTTGGTGTGTTCTGTTTTATGTTGAGGTTTGAACCATTTGGAGTTGAGTTTTGTTTAGGGTGATAGTATAGATCTATTTGCATTCTTCTATATGCAAATATTCAGTAAAATATGAAAAAGCGTGTTTTTTTAAAATATGTGAGAACAAATTTTTAGTGGATTTAACATTTGACTGTTAAAAGTTATATTTGGTCTTGCCTATCTTAGGATATTCTCTAATGTATGTTCATGAAGTCAAGATTCTTCCAGGTTTTACCAGAAATTGGTGTGCATAAATGAATAGAATATCATAACTTGTAACTAGAGATGTAACTCCACCATAGAGTGCATGTGCAGTGTGTGCAAAGCCCTAGCACAGAGTGAACATCTATATGTGCACATGCTAATAAGATGGGAACCTAACTTACTTTCTGCTGTGTAAGTAGAAGAAAGCTTGCTTAACTTGTAAAGTTATCTTCAAACGTATATCTTCAAAAGTCTCTCAGATGTACTGGAAAGCATTCTTATATTCTCATTAAAGAAAATCATGGAAGGACTAGAGAGATGATTCCGTGGTTAAGAGTACTTGCTGTTCTTCCAGATGCCATGGGTTTGATTCTCAGCACACATATGGTGGCTCACAACAATCTGAAACTCCAGTTCCAGGGGATCCAATGCCTCTTCTGGCCTCCTCATGCACCAGGCGCACAGGTGATGCACAGACAAGCATGATGGCAGATACATATAAAAATCAAAGTTAAAATATAACAGACACACACAATAATCATGAAAAAGTCAAAAGAGCAACAGTATTTCCATGTTTGGGTACTTTCCGAGCCAGTGAAATAAGACAGATGTTCATATCTTTGAAAGAATCAGGAGGTAGAGAAGCAAGTGTGATCATTCATAGATGGTATGATCATGTAGCAAACTTAGAGTCTTCAGAAAGATATCTAAAGCAATTAGATCAGTTGGATCAGTACAGTATTGTTAATTTTCTTAAACTCCAAAAACTACTAAGAAAACACGGAGAGGTAGGGGTGCAGCAGAAGTGGCTTATTATATCAGCAATGATGACTTGTTTGAAAATCATTCAAGAGTAGGTCTACAAAAATGTGCAAGACTTGTGCAAAGAAAACTAAGATGATACATAACAAGGGTTTTAATGAATTGGTATTTTTTGCACTAATTAGGTGGACCTGGTGTTGTGGATATTAAAGTATGAGGACCTGGAAACTCTCAGGCATCTCTTTCTCTGTTAGAGTCATGGATTGGATCCATAGTGGGGCATGATGTTGTTCATTACTGACATCTTTTTAGCAGAATCCTTCTCTCTTTCCCCTGCTACTTTTCGATAGCATGGAGGTACACATTTGCCAGCTGGTCTGTACATGTGCCTCATCTTTGCAGGGTATCTACCAGGCTCTGGCCTTTTCATCTTCTCCCTCGTGGCCTTCAATAATCTGGAGAATATGATCTTTGGTAAAGGTGCCCAAGCAAAGCCCTTGCCTGAGATTCTCTTGCTGTTGGTCCTCTTTGCATCCAGCCTCATCCACCAACACTCTGTCACCACCTGATCCATCTTCTCCATGGTTGCTCTGTACTCAGTCAACAAGATCTCCTCCTCTATGTACCAGGCAATAGCTCTAGTCATCACACTGGCTGTGGTAGTTTGAATGTAATTGGCCACCATAGTCTCATGGCGAGTGGCACTGTTAGGAGATGTGGCTTTAATGGAGTTGGTATGGCCTTGTTGGAGGAAATGTGTCACAGTGGGGTGGGCTTTGAGGTTTTCTATGCTGAGGATACCGCCCAGTATCTCAGTTCATTTTCTGTTGCTTGCAAGATGTAGGACTCTCAGCTACTACTCCAGCACCATGTCTGCCTGCATACTGCCATGCTCCCAGTCATGATAATAATGGACTGAACCTCTGAAACTGCAAGCCACCCAATTAAGTGCTTTCTTTATAAGAGTTGCTGTGGTCATTGTGTCTCTTCACAGCAATAGAAACCCTAACTAAGACACTGGCCAAAGTGACTGTTGAAAAACAAACAAAAAAACACCATTCTTGAACATCATGTGTAACAATTCTTCCCCCTGTGGAGAGCAGTTGAGGCTTTTACTTTTAATGAGACAATATTTTCAAACAGCTGACTGGAGTCTTTTGTTTACCTAGATAGAATAGACATCAGGGGTAGTCAAAGAAACTCTTGAAGTACTGGACTTCGGTAGTCTTTGTGTCCTTCCATGTTTGACAGTCCACAGTGTAGCAGACAGGCAGAAGAACCAGTAGGCAGTACCCTCGTTTGTTATAGAATGTGTGAAGGTCTGGCACCTCAAGATTCCTCAGCTCTTGGCAGTGTTAGGGTGACAGCACCCAAGCCTGGGGTTTCAGGGACTTCCAAAAGTTTGACAGATTTCGTGAACTTTTCTCACTGCCACAGACTGTAGTTTTTCTTCTCTGGCTCTTTACAGCCTTTTAACCTTTAGTCTGCTCTTCTCCCCTCTATCCACTTTTCTTCCTCCTCCTCCTCCTGCTGCTCCTCCTGCTGCTCCTCCTGTTGCTCCTCCTCTTCTTTTGCTATGATGTCTGCCACAGTTGCCACCCTTTGCTACCTCTGCTTCAGTCTGCAGCTGGTCTTGCAGCTCCCTCCAGGTTGAAGCTGCCAGTGCAGCCAGCACTTGAGTGCTCCTGCTCAGCCTGGGTTGCTCAGCTCCACCCTGCTGCTTGTCAGGGTGGTGTTCCTGTGTCTCTGCCCCCGAGTGCCACTGCTCCACTGTGTCTGCTGCCCTGCTGCCTTTGTGTTACCAGCCCAGCTTCAGTCTCCCAAAAGTAGGCAAGAAGAGACCACTGCCTTTTATTGCCGCAGGGGAGATGGCACAGGAGGGTCTCCTGGCTCACTCGGTGGGCAGAACTGCAGGGTTAAATAGCTGCTGACGGGATATTGTGCCAGTCTCGTCACATCTTTCATGCACATGAAGGTCTGTGCGTCCACCAATCACAACATTGTCCCTTTTGCACCAGTCCCAACAGTCCCTTTGCTCAGCCACTAGGGACATGCTCCACTCTGGCCTGAGTGGAAATGGCTTCAGATCCTGCTAGACTATGCTGAGGCATGTGGTTGCAAACAGTCCAGTGCCAACTGTTAGAAACAGTTATGGTTGGGGCTGGCCCTTCAGGAGCACGAGCAACAAGTCGCAGTTGTTTCCTAAGAGTTTCTTCAAGCAGTGCCTTCAAAATCTTTAGTGCTAGTCTAAGGGTGATTTAGCTGGCTGCTCGGTTGACAGCCCGTTGGTGAGGCCGCCAAGGCACAGTGGAAAGTCCCCCAAATTTTCTTGTTGATGACGTATAGGAAAATAAATATGGAAGGAAAGCTTATAATAAGAACATATCAGTATAGGTTTTGATTTAAAGCAGTGTTCTCCACTGCTTTAGCCAGTGCTGAACACCTGCCCTGCATCCCAGAGAAAAATGGATCCTTCTTGTTGTCTCTGAAAGTTATATCAAAATCTCTTAGAACATAACAGCTATCTGGAGATGTTGGGCTCTAAACATCTTTGGGAATTGTGCAGGCTCCTCCTTGTGCCTCAGTGTCCTGAAGTGAAATGAACCCTTGTTGGCCTGTGTTTCTGTTGCAATGCCACAGATGAGCTGAGAACCTGGTGCCTGGTGTGTCTGCCCTGGGGTCATTTGAGACTCTGTCTTGACACCATCCCCCAAAGGTGCCCATAGAACACAGTAGAGAATTTGGCAATATCTCTGTTTCCTTCTGACCAAGAAGACTACACAGACTTGTAAACCTTGGCCTGCTCAGTCCAGTCTAAGGTGCTATGGAGCAGTATCTGGGTATTGTGAGTATAAAGAGTGAGGAAGCCATTTGCTAATTCTTCTTATGTGCCCAACTAATTTAAAAAAATCCAGATGCCATGCCATTCTTCATAAATAGGGCTTAGGCAGGAGGAGCATTTGAGCATGAGTTCGGGGCCAGCCTGAGTAATATAGCAAGACCTCATTTCTGAATGAATGAATGAATGAATGAGTAAATAAATAAATCCAAATTGCACATAGGATACATCACAGTCAACAGGAATAAACAAATCTAGCACTTAATTCTAAAGTCCTATTTAAGGTTTGTGTGTGTGTGTGTGTGTGTGTGTGTGTGTGGTTTTAGCTTTCAGTTAGATCCATCAAGAGTTGAAAGTTTTCAAAAGCAAAATTGGATATAGCAATTTCTCCTTTCTTAGCTGCTGTGTGCCCACCTCTGTCATTCGATCTTCTAATCTGCAACAATAAACAGGCTGAAGGTCAGATCTAATTGATGGCTTTGAACCCCTGGAGATGGACAAGAGCACTGTCCCTCCAAGGACTGGGCAGGGCTCAGGATGGTGGCTTCCTAGGAAATACTAAGCAATTGCTATATAGTAAGCAGTGTTCTTAGTGCTATGCTGCTGGTGGAGAGTTAGGGCTCTTGTAAAACACCACACAGCTAGTGAAGATGTTAGTAGCATGTAAGACTCTGGCTTTAGATCTTGCCACCTCCTCCAAATGTTCTTCAGAGGCCCGGTTTGAGTGGCTGGCCTTTTTGGCATAGCTTGCAGCTGTCCATCTCTGTGCTCAGACTCCTGGGCAAGTGTGGTTGTGCTGTCCCTTTTAACTGCTCTACCGCGTTTCTGTACAGAGGGAATCTGAAGCCCAGAAACGATTCTGTGGCCAAAACTTACCAGTGACCTCTGTATACTGATTTGCCTCCCTTAGTAAGCCACATAAGGGCAAGCCTGTTCTCCATTTTATTCCTGGAACTTATACCATGTTCCATTAACTTAGCTAAACAAACACCTGGGTTTAAATCACAACTGTTTTTGTTTTTTCTTTTGCAGCCTGCGGGATCCGAGTGGCCTGAGATGCGGATGCAGCAGACGTGCGGCGGAAGCGAGACCGAGGGCTCCATCCCAAGCCAGCAGGGCGCAGGCAGCCGCGGCTCCAATGCCTGCTGCTTTTGCTGGTGCTGCTGCTGCAGCTGTTCTTGGTAAGGCTGGGGGCTTTTTACTAAGGAGCTGGTGGGAAGGGGCCTTTGACTACAACCTATTTATGACACAACTGGGAAGTAGGGTTTGGTTTGGCTCTTTTGTAGCCCAGGCTGCCCTTCCAAAGGCCTCTGGATTCAATTCCCAGTACCCACATGGCAGCTCACAACTGTCTGTAACTCCAGTTCCAGGGGATCCAACACCCTCACACAGACACATATGCAGGCAAAATACCAGTCCATATAAAAGAAAAATATATAAATTGAAATATGCTTTTTAAAAAGTTTAAAAGAGAAAGAAAGGAAGGAAGGAAGGAAGGAAGGAAGGAAGGAAGGAAGGAAGGAAGGAAGGAAGGAAGGAAGGAAGGAAGGAAGAAAAGAACAGGAAAAAAATCCCAAATTTGGCATGATGGCTGTAATCCCAGACCTGTGTCCCAGTATCTGGGAGACTGAGGCAGGTGGATCCTTGACACTCACTGACCAGCCAGTCAGCCTAGCTTCAGCCAATGAGAGACCTTGTCTCAAAACACCAAAACAAAAACCCAAGGTAGGTAGCTCCTGAGGAAGGCTACTTGATTTTGTCTGTAGACTCCACATGCACACACACACACATGGGTACCCACACACATGCAGGAAAGAATTCATATCCATAATATACGAAGAGTGTCACGACATAAAACGACCAAATAAGAAACAAGCAAATGAAGTGGCACAGAATAGGTAATCTATATGTGCTCCTGCCAATAAGATCAAGATAAATGCAAGCTGATAGCCTGTTGTACACACACCTTTAACCCCAGGACTGGGGTGGGAGTGGTGTGAAAAGACAGGCAGATCTCTGTGAGTTCGAGTCTAGCCTGATCTACATAGTGTTTTCCAGGACAGCCAGTGATACAGAGAGACCCTGCCTCAAAAAGAAAAAAAAATGCAAGTTGAATATACACCTTCTAAATGTTCCCCTTATTAAGCCCTCTAAGAAAATATGAGGCACATGCAGAAAGAATATCTGTGGGGATTTGCTATGGCCTCAGTCTCCATGAGAAAATGGAAGTGGTTCCATTCACAAATGAGAAATATGTGGATCCAGGCCTCGTGGTGTCTTCATGCCGTTGTCATCTAAACTCATGTGCTACAGGGAGGAAAGCAATTCCGGAACAATGGGCACTGTGAAACAGTGCTTATACAACATCTAAGATGCATATGTGTGCACAGAACACAGTGCTTATACAACATCTAAGATGCATATGTGTGCACAGAACACAGTGCTTATACAACATCTAAGATGCATATGTGTGCACAGACCACAGTGCTTATACAACATCTAAGATGCATATGTGTGCACAGAACACAGTGCTTATACAACATCTAAGATGCATATGTGTGCACAGAACACAGTGCTTATACAACATCTAAGATGCATATGTGTGCACAGAACACAGTGCTTATACAACATCTAAGATGCATATGTGTGCACAGAACACAGTGCTTATACAACATCTAAGATGCATATGTGTGCACAGAACACAGTGCTTATACAACATCTAAGATGCATATGTGTGCACAGAACACAGTGCTTATACAACATCTAAGATGCATATGTGTGCACAGAACACAGTGCTTATACAATATCTAAGATGCATATGTGTGCACAGAACACAGTGCTTATACAACATCTAAGATGCATATGTGTGCACAGAACACAGTGCTTATACAATATCTAAGATGCATATGTGTGCACAGAACACAGTGCTTATACAACATCTAAGATGCATATGTGTGCACAGAAAACAGTGCTTATACAACATCTAAGATGCATATGTGTGCACAGAACACAGTGCTTATACAACATTTAAGATGCATATGTGTGCACAGAACACAGTGCTTATACAACATTTAAGATGCATATGTGTGCACAGTAGCATAACAGTGAACAAGAAGGATGACAAATTAAGCTTGATGGTTATCTCTGGGACTCAGAGTAGGGGGCATACACAATAAAGTTTATGTGTATTGAGAAGAATTTTTTCCCAAAATTAATTGATTCATAATTATCCTGAAACATAATGTGTTGATATCACATCAGTGGAAAACAATTCAATTTCCTTGACTTACCAACCCCCCCACCCAGCATTCTTTGAAGACGTGTCTGTGTTGGTATACATAGTAAATTTTCTAGAAAGATAACTAGCAATGTTTTCCTAAGTCTCAAAAACATTCCTCTCAGAATTCCAGTCGATGGCCTTCTAATATAAAGGAAAGCACTCAGATTTTTATCCTCTAAAATATAAACTTTTTAGCCACTGGTGAGTTGTGCATGCTTCTGTGAATAGCACTTCACCCACACTCATGTAAGCAACTCTCTAACTCATTGATTGGGCCACCAAAAAGAAAGAAAAGGGGCATAAAAGTAGAAGGACTAGTTGGAAATAGGAAGGGGTCAGTGGGAACAAAAAAGGGACAAGGGAGGGTAATGAGATGATCAAAACACATTTATATGCATGTGTGAAAATGTCACATAATTAACATATGCTAATAAGGCAATAAACTTTAATTGTTTTCTGTAATGCTGGAAGGTGTCCCCCTCCTTTCTCACTGGAAAGGGAAGCCCTGAGTCTTATAGAACATTTAGAAGTATGGCAAGCAGGGCTTTGGCTTGTGTTCATCATCCTCTTCTGGAATAACAGCCACAGAAGACCCCCATAAACACAATGAACCAAAAGAATATCCTGTGCCTTTTCTCTAGAATACATTGTCTCCTTTAAACTATTTCTGCTTTAGCAAAATAAGATCGAAAATGTCAAAGCTCAAGGAAATTTTGCATTATTAAGTTCACAATATAGCTTCCAAGTCTCTTTGCAGCCTTGTGTCAAATTCATAATTCCTTTTTCTTTGCTTTTTCATACCCACTGTGCAGTCACGTGTTCTGCTTACAAATAAGCCAGGAAGTCAGGCAGGATAAATGCTCCCCAGACAGGAGGCCACCCAGTGCCTCTCAAAGGGTTTTGTTTTGTTTTGTTTCATTTTTAAAAACCGTTGTTTATTGAAATGACTCAAAAGGATTCCTGCATTTTTAATGATTTTGTCTTTACATAAAAATAGATCTCTCTCTCTCTCTCTCTCTCTCTCTCTCTCTCTCTCTCTCTCTCTCTCTCTTACACACACACACATACACACACTAAAAAAACTTACAAAGCTGATTGCTAAAAGCAGGCTAAAAGACATTCGTAAGATAAAATGCTTAGGAAAAGCATAGGAAAATGAACAGAAGCACTAATAATACAGTAGCAAAACAAAAAGCTTGAATCATCAATGATAAAAATTCATTTTTAGAGGTTCAAAGGGTTGTTCAGGGGTAAAACACATGCTCACTCTTGCTGAAGTACTGGGTTTTGTCTTCAGCATCAAAACAAAACACTATTTTAAGCTGTTGGGATTCTGAAAACTTCCTGCTAAATAAGTCAAGAATAAGAGAAAGACTTGACAGTCTCTTCCACTTCCACAATGTCACACAACATTGTGTTGTAGGCATCAGCCAAGAGGAGGCATATAGATAGAGCTTAGGACTTGGAAAAGGACAGAGAAAATCCTCCCAATTTTTAGATGACGCAAAAACACCCCAAAAGTCCAAAAGAAACTTTATTAGAACTGATGAGTAAAGAAGAATGTAAAGTCCATAAAAATAGCTATCATCAGAGCTTATATCTAAAATACATAAAGCTATTATACAGTTCAAAGCCCTGGCTGCTCTTGCAGAGGACATGGGCTCAACTCTCAGTGTCCACAAAGTGGTTCACAAACACTTGTAACGCCAGTTCCAAGGGATCCATCCAAAGCCCTTTTCTGACCTCTGTGGACACCGAGCATGCATGTGTGGTGCACAGACAGACATGCAGGCAAAACACCCTGTGCACAACAGTAAAATCTTTGGAATATATAAAGCCGTCTATCTCGGAAGTAAAAGACAAACCGATATTTAAATATCAAGGAATAGAAAAAGACATGTTTTCAGAGAAAATATGTGATAGCTAGTGATACATGGAGAGAGGCTGGACAAAATCAGCCTTTAGTAAATGTAAATCAAACTCAAGTGACATTTCACACCCACCAAGCAAACAACAGTTGGGAAAGGATCCCTTGAGACCCCTGCTACATACCAGGAGTACGCACTGGCCCAGCTGCCCAGGAAAAGAGTTGGTTCCTCAAATGGTAAGAGTGGATCGTCTGCTCTACGGTTGTGGGTAGAGAGCATTTTGGCAGTGGAAACGTCTACCCTCTGAGCCATCTCACCAGCCCTACCAAAACAAAAAACAAAACTCATTTTCTTTCTGTTAGTTTTGATTTTGGAGACAGAGTCTCACTATGTGGCCTAGGACTGGCCTAGGACTCATAGAGGTAGACAGACCTGCCTCTGCCTTCCAAGTGCTAGGAGTGAAGGCGTGTATCACCACCCTGGCTTGTTTTCTTTTTTAAAAGATGTATTTATTTTTATTTTTTATTTGTATGTACTGCCTGCACATACACTACTACCACATGTGTGACTGTTGTCTACAAAAGTCAGAAAAATATCTCTAATCCCCTGGAACATGAGCCTCCACGTGGGTGCTGGGAATTGAACCCCTGTTCTCTGCAGAAAGTGCTTTTTACCACCCAGCCATCTCTCCAGACCACTTTTGGTCCTCTTAAAAATATCAATCAGGGTCACATCTTTAAAAAAAAGTAATTTTATTTGAGTATCTAAAATTATCTTAAATATATTCATTTAGGAAATACGTTTATTCAAATATCTCAGTCAACACATAATTGTCTTGTTTCTTACAGCCTCACTGTGAGAAACCAGGAAGACCAGAGACCCGGGAGAGCCTCCCATGAACTCAGGACAGACATTCCGGCTTGTGAAGAAAGGTGAACTCTTGCATTTTATTATCTCACATTTCTGACAGAGATGCCAGCATCTCCCTTGTACTTTTTGCATTGTAAGTTTCAACAGAACACATACATTTTCCCATAACTACCATTTAGTAACATCAGATCTCAGTGTGGCTTTGAATTTCCCCTGTAGAATTTCTTTTAACTCATTTCATAACAGGGGGAAAAGTCAGCTCACTCTTCGGTTCCAATGCTGAATCACAAATAGAAGTTGATCCCTCCTGACAACCTATAACAATGCATAATGTGATTTTATTTTTACATTATATATATATATATATATATATATATATATATATATCTTTAAAAGTAAAAAACATAATGATACCTCATAGTAGGTCTTCAGGAAAATCGAAGAATTACATTTTTCAGTTACAAATTAGTTCTAACTAGCTGAAGTATTGTATGACTTTTCCCGGAAGACATGAACCAACATCTACCCCAGATGGGGCACTGTCGGCAGATCAAAGACTTAGTGAACCAGTGAGTGTATTGGAGTTATTCACATGATCATAGGCCAGGGGTTGCCTGCAGAAACGGGTGACTCCAAGGCAGATTCATCACAAAGCCCACTCAGTACAAGTGACAGCTCACAGAACTGCCTCCCTGAAGCTCTTTGCACAACTCACAGGTATTGGCGGTCTAAGAGTCCCCTGCCCAGCAACCATGACTGCTTGTACAGTCTCAAGGAAGCACCTTGTGAATATCTCACACTTCTGCTTCCTGGATGCCTGGGTCTTTGAGCCCCTTCCCTGCAAAAGAGAGTGTTTGAATTCAGTGGAAACCACCAGCAATCTGCTGTTTAAAATCTAAGTATTTTGAAGAAAAAATACATAATGTAATGTTTTTACCTTTAATTTAATGTTTCAGTTTTTAATATTTAATTTTGGGGTATTTGATGCAGGAGTGAGTTGGGAGTCCCAGATCTGATGGATCTTCCAGCCCTCCTTCTACTCCTCCACACCAAACTTTGTATTGCTTTTCTGTTTATCTTTCTTCCGTTGACTCTTTTCTTTCTTTTATCAAATTTCCTATGGATTTACCTTCCTTTAACTATTCTTACATCTCTTCTTTATTTTACTCTTTCTTAAATATTTATTTCATGTATGTGAGTATTTTGGTTGTATGTATATATGTACACCAGGTGCATGCCCAGTGCCTATGAATATCAGGAAGGGGTGTTGGGTCCCCTGGGACTGGAGTTACAGAAGGCTGAGCTACCACATGGGTACTGGGAATCAATCCCTAGTCCTCTACAAGAGCAGCCAGCACTACTAACTGCTGAGTCATCTCTCCAGCCCCTTTATACCTATTCTTAATATTATGCCTTTATAATTGCAGACATTAGACAAATATCCTATTGGCATTGTTCAAATCATTTTCTGTTAACTTGTTTATCTTCAAAGGTAGAATAGTAGACCATCCCGGTTATGTAAACTTCCTTTCATCTTTACCTTATGTATATTTGCCCAGGTTTTCAAAGTCTGGAAGATACAACAACACCCCTGCCCCACTTCCCTTGGTAATGAATTTGTCAGAAACAACAAGTGTCTCACAGACCCCAAGGCACTGTATTCTGTACCATGGCTCCCAAGCACTAGGGCAGGCAGGATGCAGAGAGCTGGTTGTCCTGCTTGTGCGGCCTTCAGCCCTGGCTTAACAATGGGCACATTCTGCCTTAATTTGTGTGTGCATAAAGCAAGGATGATAACTGTTTGTTGTGGCTAAGCCAATCAAGGGTGGTTGTGAATACTGAGTAGGGAAGAGAGGCACTTGTAACACAGCCTGGCCAAAGGGAAGTATCCAGTGTAGCTTGGTCTGGTTTCGTTCTAAGTCACATCCAATTAATAAAACACAGAGTGATAAAATGTCTGTTTTTGGGGGCAGATGCTCACAGTGCTAAGCAGATGCTTCACAGATGAGTCACAGCCCCAGGCCTATAGCACAGTCTGTCTGTGACTGAAGCTCTGCTTAGGTGCTCGGTGAGAGTGTTGCAGCTCTGGAGAGAAAGGAATCCTGACTTGTCAGAAAGTCAGGCTATACCTGAGCTGCAGAGCTGTAACACTCACATTTTGGTGCTGAAACCTTTTGGTGCCTGTGCTCTCCCCTAGTGGTCTGAGCCACACTGGGACCCTAGCCCTTTATCTACAGTCCATCTGCGACAGACTCACCTTCTGGCTCAGGCTCAGATTCAGGCTCAGTTCCTTATACAGCCTACGACTGTCTGTCTAGGGAACTGTGTGGCCCGTAGTGGACTGAGCCCTCCTACATCAATTAACAATCAAGACAATCCCCCACAGACATGCCCACAAGACAACCTGTGTAGTCAATTCCTCCATGGGGCTCTCCTCTTATCAGATGACTCTAGGCTGAATCAAGTTGACAATTAAAGCTAACTAGGACATCTGTGTATCAAATTCTTGGTATATAACCTTCACCCTTAATCAGCCTGCATGAGGCCCTGTGTTCAATTTTCAGCACCAAGGTGAAATAAAACAAAACAATACTGAGATTTATCTTTCTGACTTGCAGATCATAGAGTTTCTCACTGCAAAACCTTAGTTTTGGCATGCATTTAAAATGTTGTGCAAAAAATAAGGAAATAATAAAATACTTGAAAAACAAAACTCAGTAAGTGAGTAAATTGAGCCCTGAGTTGTGACTGCTGAGCTCAGGAAGGCAAAGTGGCATCTTTCTCTAAGAAAGTATAGATTGCTTAAATGGGATTTTATGGTGCTATTAAAAAAGAATACATGGTGAGTGGAAATCATATTTCACATTCTTCCTGTGGATTCTTTCCCAGGCTGGCAGTATATGGTAGGGTCCTCTCAGAATGCTGGTTCCTCTCAGGTTCTTTCAGCTGTAATCCACATCAGCAACATGATCACTTTGCTAAGTGGTGATCCTCAGTGGGTAGGAGGGGTCAGTGCCGTCTCACCTGCAATATTGTCGTCCATGGTGGCTTTATCTGGATAAGCTGACAGCATCCATGCCTGGAACCATGAGAGCAGACACTGAACTCCCAGATTCCTGAAAGGAATTTAAGGAGTCCTAGGCCTGCAACTCTTCTGAGATCCCGAAAGACGTCCCTGCCTGAAGGAATGGCAGACATCCTTAGTTCTTATCCCAGACTTCACATAGATTAGGTCAAACAAAAATGGGCTCTTGGTCCAAGATTACAAAGTTGAAAGGCAGTAGCCCACCACAAAAGAGTCAAAAAAACAATTCAGTTGAAAGCTGGAAGGGTTTTAGATGTTAAAGCTGTCCATAGTAAAACATGGAGGAATGAGCTCTAACTCGTTTGAAGAAATGAAAGGTAGAAAGGAAGAAGGAAGTGAGGTATGGCAATGTAAACTTCCATGCAATCACTTGGAAGGCTGAGTCAGGAGGTCAAGAATTTGAGGTCAGCCTGAGGTACAGAGTGAGACCCTATCTAACAAAGTAATGTGAGTAAGAAGAATTCAGCTATCAAAAACTGGAGAACTGTGGTCCTGTACTGTCCTCTCTCGGATGTCCCTCCCCACTGACGAAGCTGGCTAATGAGCATGTAAGAGCATCTGCATTATTTTTCATCTTAGTAATATTTTTCCTTTATTCACAGTATTGTAAAACCTCTAATGTCAGTATATATATATACATATATATATATATCACTATACATCACATGTCTGCTATCAGTTGTTATATTATATCTTACAAACACATAGGCAGACCCATCATTATCTCAAACGTTTAAAAAAAGGTTGACTTAAGAAAAAATTATACATTCTTGTCAAAATTCTAGCAATGCAGAGCCAGGGAAATGGCTTAGCTCTTCAATATGCTTGCTGCCAAGGCCGATGACCTGAGTTCCATCCCTGAATGTACAAAGAAATTCTAAGGGAGGCTTTCCAGGAAACAAAAACAAGACCCCAAATCAAAATTCTGAATTATAAGAAGAAATGTGAGGAAAGGGTTAACATAGATATGGATATTGAGTATTTTATCCATCCATATATATATATATATATATATATATATATATATATACATTATATAATAATCATAGTGTTAGTTTTTTGAGACAGGTTCTCATGTAGCTGTTCTCCTAGGCTGGCCTCAAACTCGCTATGATTTGAACTCTGGACCCTCCTGCCTAGTTTACATAGTGCTGCTGATCAAACTCAGGGCCTCGAACATACCAGGTAGGTTCTCTACTACTGATCTACATCCTCAATCCAGATGATAAATTTTTTCAAGCCTCAGAGCTAAACAATCAAGTATAACTAGACAATAAGATGGCAGAAATAAATCCAAATGATGTCAAAACAAGAAAAATAAAAGAGATAAAAATGAGAAAGTCTTTACTGGATAATTTAATGGAATGACTAAAATAATTACAGTTAATATGGAGTACTTACCATGTGCCAAGAACCGTATGTATGCTTTATGGTATTATTCTGGTTCATTAGAACTTCATAACCCAGGAAAGCAGGTATTCTCAGTATTGAGAGGGATTAAGTAATTGATCCACAGCCTCCAAGTTTCTGAGGACCAGTGCTGCCTCCTGCTGACTGTCTTCTTCCCAGGAGCAGATGGCAAGGGGGAAGTGTGCGTTCAACCGCAGCCTACATTCTCCTTGGCAAACGGTGTCCACCTGGAAGAGTCCCCTTTTCTTGATCAGCATGGATTGTGACTTGTGCTTTATCAGGGCTGGTATGGCCTTGGAGAAATAGTGTTGCTTTCTTTTAAACTCAGACATTCTGACCAGAGTCTGTCTCTACCCTCGGTTCTATACTGCTTCCTGACACTCACATCAAACAAAATGACTCAATAGAGCTGCCGAGAGAGGGTCACTACTAAAATGCTGGAGCTTAGCTTGCTGAGAGTGAAAGGACTTGCATGTAACTAATATAACTAATTTAATAGTTCCTAAACATGTAATTGAAAGTTTCTAGAGTAGAAAATTTACAATCCTGCTATCACATGGATGTCCCTCAGGGATGAAGAATTAGACTAACTAGCTAGAGTTTATGCTAAAACAAGTTGCTCATTCTCAAGCATACAGAAAACATTTATAATAGTTGACTAAGCTTTTTCTCATAAAATTTGGTTTTGCTTTTTGTGTTGTTTGTTTGATTGATTTTTGCTTGTATTGGGTTTGGGACAGTACCAGAGATCAACTCCAAGGCCTTGCACATGCCAAGCAGTGTTATATCACTTAGCTACAATTATAGCCCTTTTAAAAAGTATTGTTTTGAGACAGGCTCATTAATGAGAGCAGGCTGGCCTCAAACTTACAATCTTTCTTCCATAGCCTCTGGTACACTGGAATTAGAGGTGTGCCTCACCATCCAGGTCTGGCTTTTGTAAATTATCTGAATATATTACTAGGATTATTATTGAACAGACTATATTATTAACCCCAAAACAATTAAAACAAAAGTCAGGAGTTTTAAAAACATACTCAGTAAAATCCTCTTCTGTTTGATATTTCTAAGACCACTTCAATTTAATACCTACTCAATGAATAAATCATAGTACATTTTAAGAAATAATATAACTATATGAAAATATAATCATATAAAAATATGGGATGCTGAGAATACATTAAATGAGCAAACATAAATCCCAAACCTAGTTTTCACTCACTTACTCCTATTTTGGGGGGACAGGGCCTCTCTATGTAGCTCTCCCTAGCTGTCTGGCTGTCTTAGAACTCACTCTGTAGACTAGGCCGATCTTGAACTCACAGAGATCTGCCTGCCTCTATCTCCCAAGTGCTGGGATTAAAGGCGTGGACCACTACACCTGGCAAAAACCTTAATATCTAGAAGAAAAGAACTAATCACTACTGAGTTAAGTCCAACTTCCACATGAAGAGGGAGATATCAACTATAGCATAGAAAGTTAGACATGTAAGGAATGCATCCAAATAGTTCCAAACTGTTAAACTGTATGAGCAATTGATAACTTTTTAAATTTATTTGCCATTAAAACCTGAGTAGTAGCCGGGCGGTGGTGGCTCACGCCTTTAATCCCAGCACTCGGGAGGCAGAGTCAGGCGGATCTCTGTGAGTTCCAGGCCAGCCCGGTCTCCAAAGCGAGTTCCAGGAAAGGCGCAAAACTACACAGAGAAACCCTGTCTCGAAAAACAAACAAACAAAAAAAACCTGAGTAGTTTAAAACATCAAAAATATTTTATATCACAGTCCCAAGATCAGAAATTCAAGATCCAGATGTCAGCAGGGCCAGGACTTCTCTGTACTGATTCTCGAGGCCCTGGAACAGACTCCCTTCTTGCCTCTTCTGGCATTTTGGCAGCTGCCTTCAGCTCTGGTATCCACTGGCTTGTACACTCATTACTACAGTCATATGGCCATATTCTCCATGTGTCTCCAGAGCTTCTCTCTCTGTCCACGTCTATACCAAACTTCCTCCAAGTGTAAGAGTTTCAGTTTCATTCCAGATTAAGCCTGAACTAGTGACCTCATCTTAATGTGGTTAAGTCTGCAAGGACCCAGTTTTTCTTCTTTTTAATAATTTATTTTTAGATGTACAGGTAGATGTTTTGCCTGCATGCATGTCTGTGTACCACATAGTGCCTGGTGCCCCAGCAGGCCACCATATAGGTGCTGGGAATTGAACCCAGGTCCTCTGGAAGAGAAACCAGTGCTCTTAACCATTGAGCCATCTCTCCAACCCAAGGACCCACTTCTAAAAAAGGCCATATTATGAGATTCTAGTCATTTGGACTGCCTCTGGGTGACACAATCCAACATTGCAGCCAGACGGTTTAATGGACCACTTCCACAAGATGGCCCAGAAGTAGCTCATTCCTCTTCTATATGATATCTGAGAGGCTGCCATTACCAGTGATGGCAAAATCTTACAAAAACAGAGAGTGAGATGCAAGTCCTACTCACAAGGCAGTGTGGGTAAATCTCAGAGACTTAATAAGATGGGAAAAGCAGATCACAGAAGACAGTGGATCGGCCATCTTGTAAAAGTTTTTAAAGCTACAGAATACATTCTTCAAGGAAACATAAAAATATGGAAATGGGAAAAGACAGAAGAAAAGAGATATTAAGGATCACTATTAAATAGGCCTTTTCTGATCTCAGTACAGTTAAACTCAAATGCTGGGCAGTGGTGGTGCACACCTTTCATCCCAGCACTTGGGAGGCAGAGGCAGGCAGATCCCTGTGAGTTTAAGGCCAGCCTGGTCTACAGAGTGAGTTCCGGGACAGCTAAAGCTACACAGAGAAACCCTGTCTCAAAAAAACAAAAACCAAAACAAAACAAACAAAAAAAAACCTCTATTGGTTTGGTTTTAAATGTGGCACTTTCAATCTGTGAGGAAAGGCATGTGACAAAACCCAGTATCAGAGCTTTATTGGGGGGGGGGGGTGGCAGAAGAGAGTGACCAGCTGTGAAAGACATGTGCTGGGAGAGAGAGGAGGGGGAGGAGGAGGGGGAGGAGGAGCGAGCAGAGGAGAGGGGAGGAGTCTGTGACCAGCTTTTTAAGGATTTCCCTGCATATGCACGTGTGGGCTTATGGAGCTGCACCAGGCATGCACAGATTGCGTAATCACACAGCACACTGATTACATGAGACGTAAGACCCCTTGTTTAGCTACTGAACTGTACGTGTGTGGTCATATAGGAGTGGCAGAATCCTAACACCCTCAAAGATGGTAAGCCTGGAAGTGAAGCCCAGCAGGCCTCTCCGGATGAGCGGCTCCCTCTTCATGTCAAGAATGCATTTATAGCTGATGATTTTGTTGCTGTCTTGTCTGTGTTCTGTGTTACATGGGTCACTCCAGCATGTTTCACGGCTTTAGCAGCAGCAGGGGAATTGGCCTCTGATGGACTGACTGTCTCATGGCTTTGCTTTTACAAAGTCTCTTTATTGTTACACAAAGACATCTTTAGCACGTCAATTTCAGCATGCCAAAACCTCTTATCTGATCTGGGAGTTGTCTGAAAGAACCATTACATAAGCAGTTCTCAGCCATACTGGACTTCCTGGTTTCTGGGTTTGTCTGAAGACTAAATTATGCCAGGACTGTGACTCCTTTAGGAAGAGCAACTCAAGTAACAGTCCTGACCATTTACAAAATGTCACTTCAGAGCCCAGTTGCCATCACTGGGGAATTCACAACAGATACAATGAATCTGGTGAATCTTTTACTATACTGTCCCTCATAACTTGGTATTATATCATGTATGTTCTTTTCTCTTTCTCAAAAGTTATATGAATCTTAGAAAGCATTCAGTGGACATTGCCCACTGATGTTCTGTTGGGCCACTGTTAAGCATCACTTAGTTCTGTTTGGGGTCAAATGGCTGCAGGATTTTTCTTCACTTCTGTAATTTAAAAGTTTTTCCAGATGTTCCCAGATGTAAACAAAGTATGGCTGTAACGTTGGTCAAGAAGTTACAATGCACTGGGCATGGTGACACATGCCTTTGACCCAGAGAGAGGAGGAGAATCTCTGTGAGTTCAAGGCCAGCCTTGTTTACAAAGAGAGTTTTTGGATAGCCAGGGCTACACAGAGAAACCCAGTTTTGAAAAACCAAAAAGGGGAGGGGGAGGATGAGGAAGTTACAACACACTCCGACAAAGCCACTTGCAAACATCCAGCTTGTAGGTGTTTTTGCGAAAGGATTGAGGAAAGGAGAAAGGTATTTCACAGCAGAGAAAGAGCTTTGTGACAAAAGCTGGAGTCACCAGGGGTAACATCTTCCTTTTGTTCCTTTTGACCACTGCTCAGCCCCACCCCCACTCTGGAAGAAGTCTGTGCCTGGGCCCAGTCATTTGACAACCTAATGGTGACTCCAGCTGGAAGAAATGCATTCCGGGAATTCCTTCGAACAGAATTCAGTGAAGAAAACATGCTTTTCTGGATGGCCTGTGAGGAGCTGAAAAGGGAAGCTAATCAGAGCACGATTGAGGAGAAAGCCAAGATAATATATGAAGACTACATTTCTATTCTCTCTCCTAAAGAGGTGTGTGTCTGCAAATGTCTCCTGAGAGCCATTGCTAAATTGCCTGCTTCCGTGTTTGGTCACATGCTGCTTGAACAAGTAGCGATATTCCAAAACACAGCCATGGGCTCCTCCCAATCATATCGTTCAGATTCAGGGAACCCTGAAAAAAGTGTGAAGCATTTTTCAAATTTTCCCCCCCTGGAAAAAACATCCATGATTCACACCAGCTTTGTAGCGGAGGGGTCCAGGCCCTCACACTGGCACACATTTCCTTTCCTTTGCTTTCTGTTTTGTGGCCCTAAGGATAAGCCCAGGGCTGGGTAAATACTCTCCAGCCTTTCTGTTCTTTAAAAACACAGTGCCCTATAAACACTCATTTAAATAAGATTATCCTACTATTGGGAGTAAAGTTTTTTCCTGGGGTGTGTTTCTAGTTACAGCATTGCCCTCAGTGTGAAACTGTGAAGGTTTTCCCCAGGATATCTTCTTAACATCACACACAAAAAAAAGCCAGAGGAGTGAGATTACGCAGGTTCCCACCTCTTAGCATTTGTTTCTTCACATCTTCTGTCCTGAAAGTTGGGTTGTTTTTTAATTCAGGTGCCTTGTATCACTAATTACACAATCAATATTATTATCTCCTGCTGTGTCAGAACTAAGACTGGTTAATAAGGCAGAACTTCTCTTCTGTGGTCAGGGACCTCACAGAGGCAGGAAGACCCATGAGCATCCATGGTGTGATGATGGCCCAGCATCCTCAGGGTAGAATGAATCATAGGAAGACAAGATGGAGATAGACAACAGATAATGAAAAGGAACTTGCCAGAAGCACAGGAAATGAGGTTATCCTGGGACTAGGACCAGTGAAGCCAAGGGTGGAAGTGTTGTGGTAAATGGGCAGTGAACACGGCAGTGTGCAGGGCCAGCAAACCATCAGAGCTGCTGGACAACAGCAGACCAAGAAAAGGGAGGTTCTTCAAGGCAGCTGTACAATGAGGTTCCATTTGTGCCTTGGTTTAGAACTAAAAATTTTTTGTTTTCTGCAGGAAAAACTACCATCTTGGTCCTATGACAGAACTCCCCCCTAGACAGTGTTCTGGCATACTATAAGGATCTTCTAGTGGACTTCATGAGGAGAGAAGAGGAAAAGGTTGTCCCACACAGAAGAAACAAAACAAGACCACTCTAGCTCCTTCCTTCTTTAAATCCCACGTGGTTCTGACACCTTTTCAGCTGAATAGTCAGATAGAGCTGGAAATTACAGGAAACAAATGACCATGGGCTCAAAAGCCTAACCTTGGGACTGGTACACTTTGGACTTTATCCTGAGAGAAGCCAACAAACCAGAGCAAGGCACAGTTGAGTATCAGGATGAAGTTTGCTCTTTAGAAAGAGTCCCTTGACCAAATCACAGAATATGTTGGGAGAGACTCCAGAAGGCCAGCTGGGAAGCTGTGACCCAAATCCAGACAGATGTGTTGAGGAAGTAGGAGAGTGGTGCACACCTGTAATCAGAACACCTGGGACACAAGTTCAAGGTTACAGAGTGAAACTGTCCAGAAAAGAGGAGAGGGGCGAGAGGGAAAGAGAGAAATAGAGGGAATGGGGAAGGGTACATAGAAAGAGAAGCAAAATGAGAGATACATAGGGCACTAAACTGGGGGAATAGATGGTTCCATTGAAAGAGCTTGCTAGTTTTCAAGCACTTTATTTCTAATAAAAATACTTATAAACAGCCAGGCAGTGGTGGCACATGCTATTAATCCCAGCACTCAGGAGGCAGAAGCAAGCAGATCTCTGCGTTCTAGGCCAGCCTGGGCTACAGAGGGAGTTCCAGGACAGCCAGGACTGTTACACAGAGAAACCCTGTCTTGAAAAGCCAACCAACCAAACAAACAAAGAACCTTGTAAACCCACGAGCCTAGAAGTAACCATCATTTTACTTTCCAAGATGAGTTCGTAATTAGGAATTCACACTTAGCTTACTCTAGATACTGTCACACTATAGTGTCACACTATTGTGTGACAGTTGGGATAGTGAAAGAGAGTTATCAGCTCAGGATGCCCAAGGCCAAGTTCTCAGCACAAAGGAGATTTGTTTGCCCCAGAGGGACAGAGAGTGAGGATAAGGGACAAAGAGGGGGGCGGGGAGAAGGGAAGGAAAAAGGGAAAGAGGAAAGGAGTATCTGTCCTGGAGGACAAAGGACTGCCTCTGGGCAGAGAGGAGATAGCCATGGCCCATAGGAAAATGGCTGTTTATAAGATGAGGTGTTTAATTTTAACTGGGCATGGTAATTCGGGGAGCCAAAGTGGGCTTTTGATTGCTGGACTTCAATACTTTGGTAGCTGGACCTTGGTAGTCAGCCTCAGGAGGAGGAAGTGGCCAAATAAAGGAATGGGTCCTGGAGGTCAGCTTCAGGAATGTAATCTAACAGATTTTAGCAAGGCAGCAGAAATAGAGGAGAAGGGCAAAGCCTGCCAGAGCCACATGTTCAAGTGAGCTAGAGTCCCTTCAGATAGAAACCTGGATGTCACTGGCTCTCAGACCCTGTGATTTGGGCACTTCATGTTACAGATACCTTCCTGTTGGCCTGGACTGGCACCAGAAACCTACGCCCAGTTTCTAGCTGGGCGGGAGCCTGCAGCTCCCAGGTGTGTGCCTTCATTAGCAGGATAAGTCCGTGCATGCTACTGTCTATCTTCAAAGGCCATCTCACACTCGTTTAAAAGAAGCAAAGCAGTGTGTGGTTTTCTAAAGCAGCCAGAGTTCCTTACAACTTGTGAGTTCCTTACAACTTGTGAGAAATACAAAGCATGGCCCCTCACTATGACCTACCGAGTCCCCTGGCATTAAGCCAGCAATCTGTTCCACAGTCCTTCTGGGGCCACTGGGGGACCACTCCTGGGGCCACTGAAGTCCCAGAGTTCCCTTCCCCCACCTGTTAGTTTCTCTTAGCAGTTCAGATTTTTGGAAGATCTTGTTTGGTTTGATAAAACAAGTATGAGCGTTGGGATGGATTTCCAAGAGAAGTAACAAATACAACTGCTGCTTCTGTTCACAGGTCAGTTTGGACTCCCGCGTACGGGAGGGCATCAACAGAAACATGGTGGATCCATCCCAACACATATTCGATGATGCTCAACTTCAGATTTACACCCTAATGCACAGAGACTCCTATCCCCGGTTCATGAACTCCACGGTCTACAAAGACCTGCTGAAGTCCTTAACTGAGAGAGCAGTTGAAGCATAGGTGGTGTCAAGCATACTTATTATTAATAATTCCAGAAAATAACTCATGGGCCACATTCAGCACAGGAAATCTAGAGGTAGGATCTTCTCTGCTAGAGAGATTCTTGGACTATTGTAGCAACAAATTCTTCCTCCACAGAGAGCTATAGACTCACAGTATAACTGCAGCCACCTTTAGTAATACTTGTCAGGAAAAAAAGGGATATGACAGCCTTAGAAAGACAGTATGCTCACGCTCACAGTGACAGTAGCATGTTCTCAAGGGGAGGGCACGCACTAGCCTCTGCTCTGCCTGCAGCTCAGACACACAGAGCAAATGGAGACACTTTTGTTTTGCATGAGTTAATACCCTGTTACACTCTGAAGGAAAGGCATTCAGGTTTTTTCCAACTAACGCTTCTTTCAGTCTGAATACTTCACTTAGCACCATGCCAGGATTGGAAGTCACATTTCGTGAAGATGTGACTATTCCTTGTGAAAACGGCAACCGAGTGCATCTGCTGTGGTGGTGGAACATACCACACACTGTGCTCTAGGTGGGTCAGTCTCAGGTATTTGGGAAGAAAAGCAATGCTTAAGTGATTCTTCATTCAGAAAGGATGACCATATTATCTACCAACCTGAAGAATGAGTTTTCAAGTTCATAGCTTGTCATGTTCACAAAGCTTCAAATAAACATATTTTAATTTTTTATTGAAAGAAATGTGGATATTTTCACTCTGAAAAATAAAACATAAAAGTTTTCTCTCAATCTTGAATTATTTCATATGGGATTACTGGGGAACATGGATCTTGTGAGGATCTTTCACCTCCCAGATGAGTATTCTGTCTTTACATGCCAGGATTTCTTTCTTTTCTTTCTTTTTTTTAAATCACAGCTAATAGAATAATTTCATAGTTTACAGATAAAAGTGGTTGTAAACCTAAGCCACTGTCTTAGTTAGAGTTTCTATAGCTGCAGCAAAACACCATGACCAAAAAGCAAGTTGGAGAGGAAAGGGTTTATTTGGCTTCTACATCCATATTGCTGTTCATCACTGAAGGAAGTCAGGACAGGAACTCAAACAGAGCAGGATCCTGGAGGCAGGAGCTGAGGTAGAGGCCATGGAGGGGTGCTGTTCACTAGCTTGCTTCACTTGACTCGCTCAGACAGCCTAGGGATGTCCTCTCCCATCATGGGCTGGACCCTCCCCATTGATCACTAATTGAAAAAATGCCTTACAGCTGGCTCTCATGGAAGCATTTCTTCAACTGAGGCTCCTTCCTCTCTGATGACTCTAGCTTGTGTCAAGTTAACACACAAAACCAGCCAGTACAGCCCCCCTGATGAATTCCATGTCTGCAATAAATGGGAAATGTAACAAACTGGACGTGTTTCAGGAGCAGGTTAGACATTTAACTATAAAGACCACACCAGCTCCAGTCCTTATCAGGGGTCTTGGCCTTCCCTTTGCCTGTCCTGCAGCAGCCTGACTGGCTTCATTTCTCAGCCCAGCCCCAAATAGAAACCCCTTTCCCTCACTCTCCACAAGCCATCTCACCTCTAACTTTCCATGAAGATTGTCCCTTTCTTACACTGTCCATGAACCCACGAATATGCAAGGGCCAGTATCTCTCCTCACCTCCTTCAGCACATCTCAGAAAATGATCTACCATTTTGTACCTTTCTCGTGCCGGTGCCTTGCATATGCTTCCGATCCCATTTCTTCCAACCATTATTTTTACTGAACAGAAGTTGTCTTAGTTAGGATTTCCATTGCTGTGAAGTAACACCATGACCATGGCAACTTTTATAAAGGAAAAACATTTCATTGGGGCTGGCTTACAGTTTCTGAGGTTTAGTCTGTTATCATCATGGTGTGACAATGTGATATGCAGGCAACAGGAAGTGGTCTGAGACACTGAGCACGGCTTCAGCATATATGAGATCTCCAAGCCTGCCTCGACAGTGACACACTTCCTCCAACAAGGCCACACCTCCTAGTAGTGCCACTCCCTTTGGGGATCATTTTCTTTCAAAGCTCCACAGAGGCTATAACTATGGGTCTCCAAAGGGTTACATGCCAATGACACCTACAATTACTGCCAGAAGCCCTAGAAAGGGGCAAACACGGCTTAAAGAATTTTAAAAGTTATATAAAGACTTTGGCAGAAGTCTCACCTGAGTTTAACCCAGAACAAGAGTGTGTATGTCCTACCAACAGTTACTGCAAGTGGAGAAGGTATTTGTGAGATAATTGCAAGGCATATAAAAGGACACTAGGGGAGATCATTTGTGTGGAGGGACCTGACTGGTCAAGAGTCTAGGATTAGGGTCGAGTGTGATGGCACATACCTGCAATCCCATCACTCATGAGGTTGGAATGGGATTTTGAGCTTGAAGCCTGGATGAGCTATACAGAGAGACTCTGCATTAACTATTACAGCACAGATTTTAGGCTAGAGGACTGGTCAGGGGTTTTCAGCAACAGATATTTGAGACTCCCTGGAGAGGTAAAGTATAAAGACTGACAAGCCCTTGTGTGGATGGGAAGAAAGATGAGTCTCAAAGAAGACCTGGAAGAATTGCCTCAATATATGTAAGAAGGAAGTGGGGACATGCAGAAAGGCGTAAGGACAGATGTCTCAAGCAGAGGGAAGCAGCATGTCCTAGGGGTAAGCCAAGCTTTTTCCACTCTCCCACACCATCATCCTCACCTGGGTTCTTCCCCACATTGTAGGCTTGCTCCATTCCCAGGTAAGAACAAGCCTGTGTCCAATGGCACAGTTGACACTCGATCCTCCCTCACTAGACGTTCACAATAGTCCCCTTCTACCTCCACCTCGTGTCCCCATCCATACTCACATGGAAGGAGCTCAGACTGTTCTAAGAAGGCTTCTGTGGCTCTAAAGCACATCCTTTCCCATCAGCCTCTTATAGCGTAGGTGATTCTTTCCTCTGTCTTCTATGGGTCTGACAGTATAGTCCCTGCATCCTTTCCCATTCCACTGTGGGAAGCAGAACACAGTAACCAAGCACAAGGGCTCCCAGTCAGCATCTCCCAACTCCACAGGCAGGTCAGTGATGGTGGATAGTAAACATTTTTGGGCTTGTCTCCTCCTTGGTAGGACTGGGAATAATAATAATGGTACTCTATAAGGATTTAGACAAATCCACAAAGATCACAATAAATACTTACAACATGCTCATCACTGCTATCACCTCCCTATAGAGAGCCAGGACCCCTGAAATTTGAGTTTTGGCTTACTTTCCCCTGATGTCTTCCCATTTACTTAAAATGCACTGAATGTCTACCAAATCAGGGTCTGATCTGAAATGCCTCCTGAAATTAAGTGAGCTTTTATTTGGACATCTGATATATCTCATAGATGAGGGATACTCACCCTGTTTTAATATTGACTCAAGGCCCCACTGCTTTCTAATCCTCGAAGCCTACTACACATAATCCAGCCAGTCTTCTGAGTTTTCAGTTGGTGTTAACATTGGGTCATCTTCTGAAGGCAATACAGACTCTATCTTAGGGAAGGGCTGCCATCTTAGACCACCTGCTGTACTCAGTTCCAGGAAGGACCTCAGGAATGTGCCATGACAACTCCAACAGATACAGGGCAGTATGCTTCTGCAGACATTTTGTCTGCAGTTTATGGCCCTTGAAGATATTCAGATAATCCTACTGAGCAGCCCAGATAATCCTGCTCAGCAAGCTGTGGTTCCCCACCAAAAGTCCAACCCAATAGTTTCAAATGTGGTTTCATGCCAAAAGTCTAGACCAATAGTTTCAAAAACTCACCTTGCCCCATATCCCTTCTACCCAATCCCAAGATGCCAAAGCGTGTAATTCCTGGCTTGCAGTTTTTCCCTATAAAAACTCTCTACCCCTGGGCCCACTACTACCAGATTTCTCTCCATCTGCAATTTGGTGGCCCAGGTTCAAACCTGACAATAAAAGGACCTTTATGTGCTTGCATAGGAAACTGGCTCCTTGGTGATCTCTGGGGGTTTTGCAAAATGGGTACAACAATCTCTTCTTGTGTATTCTTCCCAAGGCCATGAGGGATACCTAAACATTTCTCATGTCTCTTTTTTCCCTTTCTTTCTTTGACCCAGCACTTCTCACTGTATCACTGTTAAGAGGAACCCCTCACCTGGGTGGTAGTGGCACATGCCTTTAATCCCAGCACTCAGGAGGCAGAGACAGTTTAAGGCCAGCCTGGTTTCAGAAAAGCAAGGGTTACACAGGGAGACCCTGTTTTGAAAAACCAAAAACAAAAGCCCTACAACTACTATACTGTGTCAACTCATGGCTGCTAAGAAAAGAAAAAGACAGGTAACTGTCTGTAGACAGTACCTGTCTGGGGCAGGAAGCAATTAAGGTGGTTCTTTGTTCAGATGGTTTCTCTGGTTAACGCTACCAAATATTTAAAGAACTGATGTCACTTTCTTCTGAATTTTCTAAGCAATCAACAAAGAAAAGACATCTTTGTACTTTATGACATCAGAATTATTCTGATACCAATCAGAAAAAGTAGAGTACAAAAACAAAACTTAGAACCCAACAATCAGGAGACAGAGGAAGAAGGATTTCCATGAATTTGAGGCTGGCCAGGGCTTTTGCAGCAAGTCTCTTTTTCAAAAATTAAAAGCATACACACATACACACACACCACACACTGCACACACATAACGCACACATAGATACATATATACACACACATACATACATACAGCACACCACATAGCACATACCACACACACACCATACACACACCACACCACACACACACACATACACATACCCTGCACACACACAACGCACACATAGATACATACACATACACACACATACATATGCACAGCACACCACATAGCACACCTTCTACACACACTATACACACACCACACCACAAACACACACACACACCACACACTACACACACATAATGCACACATAGATACATACAAATACATGCACATACATACACACAGCATGCCACGTAGCACACACCACACACACATTATACACACACCACACCACACACACACATAATGCACACATAGATACATACAAATACATGCACATACATATACACAGCATGCCACATAGCACACACCACAACACCATACACACAACACACACACACACACACACACACACACACACACACACACACACACACACACACACGATTACACAGGCTAATGAGATGGCTCAGTGGACAGTGTTTGCCATCAAGCCTGATAATCTGAGTTTGATTCCCAGGTTTCACACTGTGGAAAGAGAGAACCAGCTACTTCAAATTGCCCTTTGATTCCACATGTGTGCCATATGTGCATGCCTGCACACATACCTATAGACACAAACACATGCTCTATAAATAACTGCATGTAATAAAAAATTTAATAAAAAAAAACCCTACAGGCCAATATTCCTAATGACTGTATCATCAATATCAACAAAATCATAGCAAGCTGACTTCAGCAGCACATTAAAGCATACACGTGATCCTGAGATGGAAGCATGGGTGGTTCAACACTGGAAACGAGTCTGTGCTCTATCACACTGTATCAGTTACTCTTCTGTTGTTGTGGTAAAATACCATGATATAAGGAAGAAGTTTATTTTGGCTCATGGTACCAGAGGGGTACAGTCCAAAACGTTAGGGAAACACAACACCAGGCAACCAGACCAGGAGCTGACTGGTCACATTTGGTCAGCACAGAAACAGAGAACAGGAAGTGGGGTGAGACTG